CGCGCGGGGGGGGCGGGCTCAAGCAGGAGGGTTGAGCGCAAAATGGCGTCCCCTCTTGGCGCTCTGTTGCGAGAGCTGGCGGAGGGGGTGGAGATGGAAACGGTCGACTACCTCGAGCGCCGCGCGTTGGAGGAGGGCATCGTCGACCCGTCGGACCTCGGTTTCGTGTGGGTGGCCGGCGCAGTGTCGAACGGTGCCTCCGACGCCCTCGCCCCGGCCGGGGCGCCTTCAGGGACTGCGTCCCTCCTTGCGCGTGCGGCCGCTGCCATGGCTGCTGGTGCCCGGGGCTTGGCCCATCTCCGTGCTGCGCAGGCTCTTCAGGCCGACACCGCCCCGGTTGCGCAGGTGGTGGAGTTGCCGACGCCCGCGCTGGGGCCGTCGCCTCGCTGGGCGCCGTCTGCGCGAGCGGTGGCTGCTGCTCGTGCGCGCCTGCGGCTGTCCACCCGCGCCCCACGACGGGTGGCTCTTCAAGAGGGCGTGGCCGCTGGCGTTTCGTTGCAGGCGCAGGACGCGGAGGTCATGGCCGCGGAGCTGGACGAGTGCATGGCCTTGCTCGTCGCGCTGGGGCCCGTGACTGCCCGGTTCCAAGCCCTCTATGGTGGCGGCTCCGCGGTGCCGTCGGCCACGGCGCTGGACATGCAGAGGGACCTGTTCAAGGGAGCTTTGGAATCGCCGCGCACGTTGCGCAGCCTGCGCCGGGAAGCCGAGCGCTTCCTGGGTTTCTGCACTGCGCTTGGCCGGAATGCGTTTGAATGCTCCGTGGACGGTGTCGCGGAGTACGTCCGGGACCAGCGCCGCCGTGGCGCTTCCGGCGCCACGGCCGCTCGCCGCGCACTCGCGTAGCTGGAAAGGTCCACCAGCGCGGAGCTGCACGCGGGGGCGCCCTTTGTCCTGGCGCAGTCCCGCCCCGCGGCAGTTGCCCTGCCGCCGCCGCCGCCCGTGCCGGCCGAGATGGCGCCGAAGGCCCACATCATCCACGTGGAGGCGCTGGTCTTCGAGGCGCTGTCGAACCTGCTGGCTGCCTACGCCGGCTGCATGGCCATCCTCGCACACGGGGTCTTGCGGGCGGCGGACTTGGTGCGCGCCGAACACGTGGCTTTGACGAAGGACGCGGTCGTGGGAAGGGCGTGGCGCATGAAAGGTAAGCGCCGCCGCGTGCCGTGCGCGGCCATCCGCACGGGCTTCGCCGGTCGCGACTGGGGCGGCAAATGGATGGAGATCATGCAGTCCTTGGGCCTCCCAGGCAAGGATTTCGTCATCTGGGCCCCGCACGCCGATTTCTCGGGCTTCAAATCCGAGCCAGCGGCCTACGGGGACTTCGCCAACATGCAGCGGGTCCTCCTCCAACTGCCGCCGCTGTCCCTCTCCCCGGAGCGGGCGCTGGCCTTCACCCCGCATTCGTGGCGGCATTTCTACGCGACGGCCATCAGGCAGCTCGAGCAGAGGCACGAGCAACAGTGCGCGGTGGGCCACTGGGACCCGTCTGGGAGAATGCTGGAGCACTACAACGCCGCGCCGAACGCCGTGGAGCTTATGGCCAAGGATCGCCTCGTCGAGGCTGTCCGGGGTGGCTGGGGCGTAGCTGCGCCTGGGTGCATCCCAGCCGCGACGACGATGCCGAGGCCTATGCCTTCGCCAGTGGGATTGCCATGCCCGCTGTCTGCCCCACTGCCGCAAGGGGGCGCAGAGGCGGCGGCGGCCGCCGCCCGCGCAGCCGGCTGGGCCGTGGTCGTGCACTCGAAGCAGTGGCGGGTGCATTTCCTGAAAACTGGGCAGGCATCCGCGTGCGGCACATGGCATTGTCGCTCTCCTGGCGAGCTTGCCAAGGGCTCCATCGCGGTGGACGGCGCGCTGCCTGCCAGTGCCGCGTGCTGCGCGCGGTGCGTTCGCGTGGCCTTGCGGCAGGCGGCGGCGGGCACCTAGGGTGCACCTTCTGGGTCACCCGAGGGGTTTGCATGGGGTCACTCGGCTGGTCAGTCGTGGGAGGCCGAGTGTCCGTCAGAGTAGGGGCACCCGCCAGGCGACTGGAGCGTGCGGCATTCGTGCTGCGTCCTTCGGCCGTCCTGGGGCCAGGCGTCTTCGCCTTGCGCGTGCATGCCCGCGCTGGGTGGAGTCGCCGCCTCAGGGGTTCGGAAGGCGCGCCTTTCGGACTCCCGGGGAAACGGCCGTGGGTTGCCGGGGCACGGCTGGACTGTCTCAGTTCGGCACGGCCCCAAGCCAGGTCCATCGTTCCCAGGATGGCCCGGGGCCTGGCTGGCAGGCGCCGCAGAGACCGTGCGCCTGTCCTGGGCTGAGAGAAAGTGCAAAATACATCATCTGGTCCATTGCTGGTCAGAGCCCTGCGGCCGACGGGCCCCGGGAAGACCTCGCATCAGCCGCGCCTCGCCAGTGCTTTCCAGGGCTGCCCTGTCGGGCTCGGCGTCGGCCGCCGGGGGGAAAAGTCGCCGTGGCAATCTAAACGGTCGCCTGTCCGAGTTGTTCTCCTAAGCAGTAGCGAAAAATAGGTCGACGGGCTGGCCGCAAGTTGAATGCGTGTACTTTGACGCGCCGACTCCGTGACATTTACTTTGGGCCCCTGAGAGGGCGATTTCTGTTCGGAGTTGCCCCTCGCCGAGAGCCTTCCGGAGGGCGTCCCGGATGCGAAACTTTGGGAGTTCGTATCTTCCGAGTCCGGGGCAGACGGCCTCAGGGAGGCGCGCCGGCCTCCGCAGGATTGGCCCCGGGGCGCGTTCTGGGCCAGCTTCTGAGTTCCGCGCATGTGGGCACGGTGGGTATGGGATGCGTGGCAGTGGAAGCTGAGGCAGCGGCGCGTCCGTCATAGCGTCTCTGCTCAAGCCTTTCGCTGTCTCCGCCCCGCCCTACCTCGCCCTGATCATGCCGGCGGTGAATGCCGCGCTCGCTGCCATCCTCTCGGGGGCTGGCACCCCGCCAGAGTTCAAGGAATGGCTCGAGAGCGAGACCCTCCTGGACCCAGCGGCCCTGGGGCTGATGGCTGCCACCGAGGACCTGGTCGGCGCAGAGATCATCGAGGTCGCGAAGACGCCGGCGAGCTTGGACACGCTCGCCAAGAAGATCGCCGTCAAAAAGGCATGGATGGCGTGCCGGGGCGTCGTGGAAAAGAGATCCAACGTCGCCGCCGGCAGGGTGCGCGAGGAGGAGGGCGCGCCGTTGGGCCTGGAGGTGGTGAAGGACTTGGAGGCGCAATGGGCCGCGCGGCATCGGTGCGCCTTGCCTGGGCACTGGGCCCTGGTCCCGGCCCTCTTCGCACGCCGGTTCCGGGAGACAACGGCGAGCCCGAAACGTTTCGCGATCGTTCTTCCCGAGACGGTGCGCACCAGGGCCTGCGTCGAGAAGACGTCCAAGGCGATGATGATTCCGACGGGCGCAGGCGGGGCCGTGACTGTGGAGGAAATCATCGCGGACGAGGTCGGCAGCTACCGCGAGCTGTGGGCCCGGATCCGCGCCGACTTCTCCACCTTGGCTTTGGTCTCGATCGGGGGCGCGAGCTATGTGGACTTCCAGGACATCGAGACCTTCTGCGACCGCATCCTGCAGTTCATGCACCAGCGCTTCGACAAGAAAATGGCCCCGGTGAGCTTCTACCGCAAGGCGTGCTTGGGCGCGACGCAGGTTTTCGTCGAGGCCGTGATGCCGAACGGCCAGACGTTCAAAGCAGCCATCGCGTCCACGGCTGCGCGGCATCATCCGTGGACCGTCTTCGCCGGCGAGGGCGCTGGGGGCGGCCCCTCCAGGGTCGCCGCCGCGCTCCCCGACGCGTCCGCGGACCTCCGCGAGGAGCTGCGCCGAACCCAGCAGAAGGCCGACGATCTGAAGGCCAAGCAGGAACAAAAGGAGAAGTACGAGAGCGAGCTGAAGGCGCTCCGCAAGCAGAAGGACAACGGCGACAACAGGTACAACGGCGACGACAAGGAGAAGGCCAAGGGCACCGACAGCAAGCATGGCAAGGGCGGCGACCGCGGAGCATGGCATGGCAAGCGCGGCCGCTGGTGAGCGGCACCGCTGTGGGAAGACCACGAGCGGCTCCGCGAGGAGTTGCTTGGAGTCGGCGCGAGGCATCGGGGCATCGCGCCGGAGGTCGCCGCCGCTGTGTGGGCCAGCTTCCCCGCTGGTTGCCGCGACGTCGTCGTGGCCAGGCAGAAGGTCGCAGAGCTCTTGGTGGGGCCCGGCTTCCGCTGCGACGGGGCCGCTGGCAGATCGTCCTTGTTGTGTTCCGCGGTGCGCGTGCGCCTGCCGCTTCCCCCCGGCACGGTGCGCGTGGGGCCCGGGTCTCCGGGCGGTCTTCCCAGGCCGGCGCGCTGGTGCAACCCTTCTGCTTTCTTGCTGCCCGAGCGCGAGGCGTGCCGGGAGTTCGTCGTCGACGTGCGGGGCCGGGCCGACCGCAGAGCGTTCTTCGGGCCCCTCTTCGGGAAACGCCTCCTGCGCGACAGCGGCGCCGAGCGCTGCCGCGGGCAGATCCTCGTCGACATGCGCGCCGCTGTCGAGGGCGACCTGGAGCAATACAGCTGCGCTGGGGGCGTGGAGGAGGAGGGCGAGGGGCGAGGGCGCCGACGACGATCTGGACGACGGGGTCGACGAGGAAGCCGAGGAGCAGGAGGGCGCGCACGTCGTGAAGCCGTCCGTCAGCACCTTCCCGTTGCACGACACATGGCAGGGGCTAATCTGGGCCATGCGGGCGCTCACGAGGCGTTGTTTCTGGGGGCTGTTCGCGGGTGCCTTCGGCTTGTCGACGGCCTTCGTGGCGGAAGGGTGGTGCGTGGCCCCGCCGATCGACGTCGTCTTGGACCCGTCGAACAACTTGCTCAACCCGATGTTCGCCTCCGTCGTCTTGGGCCTGCTCCTGGAGGGCCGGGTCGCTGTCCTGCACATGTCGCCTCCTGCTTGCGCGCCCCGCCTCGGGCCCGCCGCCGGGCGCTCCTTGCTGGGCGCGGCGGCGGAGGCCACCGCGAGCTTCGGAAGGGCGCAGCGCGAGGCGGAAGGGGCGTTCCAGGTCGAAGTTCCACTTGGGTCGGCACTGATCTCGACGCAGGGTCTCATGGAGCTTCTGGCCGAGACGAACGCGGCGGTCGTCCGGAGGGGCGCGTGCGTCGACGGCGCGCCCTGGAGACAGCCGACATTGCTCATCTCCGCCGACCGCCGCGCCCGCGCGCTGCAGGCCACGTGCCCCGGGGGCCGCGTGCACGAGAGGTTGCGCGGCAGGGCGCCTGACGGCCGGAAGTGGGCCTATGTGGCTGCGGCCTTCTGGCCAGGAGTTGCGAGGATCGTCGCCCAGCATTGGGGGTACCTCCGCGATGCCGACGTGGGGCTGTGCCAGCAGCGCGCTGCTGGATGGATCGACGCCTCTGGCGCGGACGTGCGTGAAGTTGTGCAAGCCTCAGGGTTCGTGCCCTCGGGGCGCCGCACGGCTGATTCGGTTTCGCGCAAGGTGGCGGCGGCTGTGCAGCCGGTGCGCCGCGCTCTACCCCGGCTGGTTCCGGGCGGTCTGTCCCCAGACGCTCGCGTGGCGGTGGCGCTCCGCGCCCCCCATCTCCACGCGCGGCCTCCCGCGTTGCCGATGCAAATTGAGTGCGCGAGGAAGTGCCGGAGCCGCGACGACGAGGACGTCATCGACCAGCGGTGCGCCATGGACGAGGCCCCGGAGTGTCTGGCCGGCGCCGTGCGGCACGAAGACGAGAAGATTATGCCGTTCCTCCACCCATGGCTGCGGCCGGCCTTGGGCCGGCGGTCTCTGGCCTTCACTCGGGAGGTTTAGTTTCCATGTGATGCCCAGGGGCTGGGACTTTCTCGCCGACCACCTCCGCGGGCTGCCCAAAATCGGATGGGCGCCCAGCTGCCCCGCGGCCCTCCCACGGCCGAGCCCGCCTCTGAAACCGATCGAGGAACTCGTCAAGGCCCGGGCCAACAGAAACCAACATATCTTCAAGTCTACGCGGTCTTCTGGAGACGATACGCTGGACAGGGAGGCTTGGGGAAAAACGAAGGAGGAATTCGAGCAGGGCGTCCTGTTAGGGCCGTTTGACGCCGAGGCCGACGTGCCCGCGGATTTCTGCTGCTTCGTTCGCCGGTTCCTTTTGTGGGAACGCCGCGGTGGTGCGGCGGAACCGAGCTGCCCGGTCATCGACGACGTGCTGGAGGGCGGCCAGAACGATGCCGCAGGTACATCCGATACGCACGTGCCTTCGGACCTGCATATGTGGGCCACTCAGATCCGTGAGAGGTTCGGCGAGGCTCTCCTCGGGCACGCCTCCGACTTTGCGAATGCCTACCGCCAGCAGACGGCCGACCCGGCGACGGCGCACTTCAATTGCATCGATGTCTACGACCTGGAGCGCCGCCGGCCTGTGCTGGCACTCCCTGTGGCCCAGATGTTCGGCGGCAAGAACTCCCCGTTGAACTTTGCACGGATTCCAATGTGGTGCGTGGAGTGCAACGCCTTGTTGTTCGGTGCGGCTTACACGCATTGCGTCGACGACATGCTGAACGTCGAAAGGGCGACAACCGCGTGGAGCTGCTGGAGGTCGTGGCGGAACTTCGCGCAGCTGTGCGGCTGGGTCGCGCCGGGCGTGAAGTCCCCGCCGCCGTCAGCCGAGCTACGCGTGTTGGGAGCTTGGACCGACCTGCGGCCGGCGCCGGGCGGCAGCCCTCTTATCAAGATCACGGATGAGAGGGCGCAGGAGCTGCGGAATGATATTTTTGATATTCTTCGCAGCTGGCGGCTCCGCTCCGGGCGTGCGTCTCGCCTGGTGGGCCGCCTCGGGTTCGCATCGACGCAGCTGTTCGGCAGGTGCGGCCGGGCACAGCTGCGGTTCTTTGTCCGCAGAGCTCACGAGCCAGGCCGGGCGGAGCTGGTGGGCCGAGGCGCTCTGGCGCCAGCGCCCTCGCGAGGTCCTCACCGACCCGTCTTCCCTCGACTGGGTTCTCTCGTATTCATACGGGGAGGGCAGCGAGGCTGGCATCGGCGTGGTGCTCTGGAGCAGCCGTCTGCCAGTGCCGGAGGCGGGGCGCATTGTCGTCCCCCGGGCGCATTGTCGTCCCCCTGGAGCTCCGCCACCTGTGGCGCCCGACCCTGGACACGGACCCCCTGGCCACCGACATCTGCGAAGTGGAGGCGCTCAGGCCGATCCTCGTCCTCGAAAACTGGCCGGGGGTGATGCAGGGGTCGTTGTGGTTGCGTTTCATCGACAACGAGGGCGCCCTGAACTGCCTTGTGAAAGGCGCTTCGTCGGTATTGGCCGGAGAAGTGATCACTGGCATGACGTGGGCCCGCATTGCCAGCTTGAAGGTGTGGGCGTGGTTTGACAGGGTTGCGTCGGCCTCAAACGTCGTCGACGGTCTGTCCCGCGGGATTGGACGCAGCCCTGGAAGTGCAAACCCATTGTGCTGCCACGTGGCCTACATGCCGCGCTCGGGGAGGCCCGCGGGTCCTCCGCCAGCGCGGAGGACGGGCGCGGGATCGCCTCCGCGAAAAGATGCCGGGTGTAGCATTGTGTATAAACGAACGGCACCCGTCGTGCTCTGATGGAGGCCGCGCTTCCGTCAGGGTAGGGGCACCCGCCAGGGGACTCGAGCGCGCGGCATTCGTGCTGCGTGCTTCGGCCGTCCTGGGGCCAGGCGTCTTCGCCTTGCGCGTGCATGCCCGCGCTGGGTGGAGGCGCCGCCTCAGGGGTTCGGAAGGCGCGCCTTTCGGACTCCTGGGGAAGCGGCCGTGGGTTGCCAGGGCACGGCACGGCCCCAAGCCAGGTCCATCGTTCCCAGGATGGCCCAGGACCTGGCTGGCAGGCGCCGCAGAGACCGTGCGCCTGTCCTGGGCTGCGAGAAAAGTACAAAATACATCATCTGGTCCATTGTGCTGGTCAGAGCCCTGCGGCCGACGGGCCCTGGGAAGACCTCGCATCAGCCGCGCCTCGTCATTGCTTTCCAGGGCTGCCCTGTCGGGCTCGGCGTCGGCCGCCGGGGGGAAAAGTCGCCGTGGCAATCTAAACGGTCGCCTGTCCAAATTGTTCTCCTAAGCAGTAGCGAGAAATAGGTCGACGGGCTGGCAGTCGACCTATTTTTCGCTACTGCTTATCGGCAGCCATCTTGAGCGATCCTGGAGTATCTCGGGCCATCTAGGAGGTAGTCTTGGGTTTTCGGTTGAGGGTCCCTGACTCCGTGACATTTACTTTGGGCCCCTTGGAGGGCGATTTCTGTTCGGAGTTGCCCCTCGCCGAGAGCTTTCCGGAGGGCGTCCCGGATGCGAAACTCTGGGAGTTCGTATCTTCCGAGTCCGGGGCAGACGGCCTCAGGGAGGCGCGCTGGCCTCCGCAGGATTGGCCCCAGGACGCGTTCTGGGCCAGCTTCCGATGATGATGCTGATTCGGATGATGATGAGGATGCTGATCATTGTGATGATGAAGATGATGATGATGATGATTATGATGCTGCTGCTGATGATGATGATGATGATTGGGATGATGATGGTGATGATGATGATTATGATGAAGATGATGATGATGCTGATGCTGATGATAGTGCTGATGATGATTCGGTTGCTGATAATGCTTATCATGATGATGCTGATGATGATTATGATGATACTGGTGATGACGATGATTCTGATGATGATGCTGATGATGGTTATGATGATGATGATCATGATGATGATGCTGATGATGGTTCAAATGATAATGATGATGACGATGATTACGATGATGATGAAGAGGATGGTGATGGTAATGATGATGATGATGATGATGTCAATGATGAGGATTAGGATGATGATGGTGCTGATCATGACGGTGATGATGCTGATAATGATTCTGATGATAATGATGATGACGATGATTCTGATGATGAGGATGAAGATGATCATGATGATGATGATGATGATGATGATTATGATGATGATGATGAAGGTGGTGGTTAGGAGGATGATGATGATGCTGATCATGACGATGCTGATGCGGATGATTTATTCTGATGGTAATGATGATGATGATGTTGATGATGATGATGATGATGGTGATGCTGATGCTGATGATGCTGATGGTGATGCTGATGATGATGATGATGATTAGCATGATGATGCTTATCATTATGATGATGCTGATGATGATTCTGATGATAATGATGATGACGATGATTTTGATGCAGGTCGTGATGATGATGATGCTGATGATGATGATGATGATGAAGAAGATGATGATGATTATGATGATGGATGATTTGGACGATGATGATGCTTATGCTGATGCTGATGATGATTCTGAGGATAATGATGGTGACGATGATTATGATGATGCTGATCATGATGATGACGTTTTTCATGATGATGATAATGATGGTGATGCTGATTATGATGGTGATTAACATGATGATGCTGATGATGATACTGATGATGACGATGCTTATGATGATGACGATGCTTATGATGATGACGATGATTATGATGAAAATGATAATGATGACGATGATGATTATGATGGTGCTGATCATGATGTTGATGCTGATGATGATTCTGATGATCATGATGATGATCATTATTATGATGATGCTGATTAGGATGACGATGATGATGATGGTGATCATGATGGTGATGATGCTGATGATGATGGTACTGATTGTGATGCTAGTGATGATGCTGATGATAATGAGGATGATGCTGATGATGATGATGATGCTGATCATGATAATGATGATGCTGATGATGATTCTGATGATGAGGATGACGATGATTATGATGATTATGATGATGATGACGATGATGATGATGAGGGTGATGATGAAGAATATGATGATGACGATGATGATGATGATGATTAGGAGGATGATGATAATGCTGATGCTGATGATGACGTTGATGATTGTGATGGTAATGATGATGATGATGATGATGATGATGTTGATGATGAAGATGATGATGATGATGATGCTGCTGATGAGGATGATGATGATGATGATGATCGTTGTGATGATGATGATGATGATTCTGCTGCTGATGCTGATGATGGTGCGGATGATGATGATGATTAGGTTGCTGATGATGATGATGATGATGATGATGCTGATCATGATGATGACGCTGGTAATGATTCTGTTGACTGTACATGCTAATCTGTAGCCCCTTGGTCCAAGTAAAAACCATCGACATGGTAGCGGAGCGGCGTGGGTTCATTCCCGCTGCCGCTTCCCTTCCAGCCACCCGCGGCGGGCGCGCGCGCCCGCGATAGGGCGGCGGCGGAGGCCGCGCCCTGGCGGCTGGCAGCGGCGAGGGCCGCGCCAGCCGACCCTTCATAGCCCAGCACGCCGCCTAAGAAGAAGAAGAAGACTAAGCGTGGCTCGAGGTCGAACAAAGCAGACATCTTGAGGAGTAGGAAGTTCGACGAGAAGCTCGATCTGAAGTATGGAGGAGATCGAGAGACGCTTCCAGGCGCTCGAGGGAGCGTTGCAGGCTGCAGAACAACGGGTGCAGGCTGCAGAGGAGCGCGCCCTGGCGGCGGAGTCAGCAGCAGCGAGCGCAGGCGCCGCCGTGAACAGGCCCGTGGCAGCGGCGAGGGCCGCGCCTCAGGACCTGGTGGACACTCGGCTTCTGGCGAAGCCGAAGGCGTTCGGAGGCAGCGAGGACGAGTGGCCAGGGTGGAGCTTCAAGATGCTCGCGTACCTCGGGGCCCTCGACGAGCAGATGGCCAACGAGCTGACAGCAGCCATGACGTTCCCGCTGGAGGAAGTGAGGAACGCGAGACTCCTGGAGGAGGGAGCGAGTCAGCGCAGTCGCCAGCTGTACTTTATCCTCGTCCTGCTGCTGGAAGGAGCCGCACTGCAGCTCATCAAGCCAGTCGGCGTCGGAGAAGGTTATCGGGCGTGGAGGACGTTGCAAGACATGTACGAGCCCGACAGACCAGGTCGCCATGCAGGACTGCTGCAAGAGCTGATCGCGTTCCAGTTCCCAGAGGACAACATCGTGGGGATGCTGGCGGACTTCGACTTCAAAGTCACGAAGTACGAGAGCCAGAGCCACGAGAGGATTGGGGACAGGATCAAGATGGCGATCCTCCAGAGGGGGATTCAGGACGAGGCTCTTCGAGCGCATCTGGTCCACAATGCGTCGAGGCTAGTCACGTGGGAGCTCATGCGCAACGAAGTGCACATGGTGATCTCGACGAGGAGCGCCATCGCAGCAGTGCCGCCACCAGTTCCGATGGACACGAGCGCGGTGGAGAAGGCGAGGCGCGAGGCGGCGTCGAAGGGCAAAGGAAAGAAGGGCAAGGACGGCAAGGGCAGGAAGGGCAAGGGCAGCGACAACTCCACGGACCAGAAGAGCCAGGCGGCCAAAGACAGGGCCGAGAAACGATGCTTCCACTGCCACAAGACAGGTCACGTCAAGAGCGAGTGCAGGAAGTTCCTCGCAGAGCAGAAGAAGAAGAAGGGCACCAACGCCGTCGAGCAGGAGTCGAAGCCGACGGGAGCTCCACCAGCGGCGAGCGCCGCGGGGAGCGCGGCGCCAGTGATGGCGATCGCGACCGAAAGCGGGGCAGAGCCATTGTGGTGCCTCGCGATCGAGCTGGGAGAGCTGGGGGAAGGGCAAGAATCATCATCGAGTGGAGCAGCAGCGACACCCTCAGCCCCAGCAACGACAGCGATCCACCGTCGTTCGAGCGGGCCGTCAAGCGAGCGCGAGCAGCCGAGGCGGCCATCCTTGGTCGGAGGCAGCCCGATCGAGCGGCTGAGCCCGCCAGAGGCGTCAAGCGAGCACGCGCAGCCGAGGCAGCCATTCTTGGTCGGGGCCAGTCCGATCGAGCAGCTGAGCCAGCCAGGGGCAGCAAGCGAGCACGAGACGTTCGAGAGCAAGGAGATCATCGGTATCAATGAGCACTGGGTCATGGTGGACTCGGGTGCTGCACGATCGGTGTGTCCGCCGAGTCACGGGGCCCACGAGACGCTCAGAGACCTGAGCGAGCGCATCAGGCTGGTCGGAGCGAGCGGCGACGACATCCCGTGCCACGGCGAGCGTTTCGTCACGTACACGAAGGGCGGGCACAAGATCGGGGTGGACTACAAGGTCGCCGACGTCAAGAGGCCAGTGCTGGGCGTGTCGCAGGCGGTCGACAAGGGTACGTCGTGGGTATTCACGCCGAGCGGGAGCTACATGATCCCGAAGCCGATCGAGTTCTCGGACCCAGACGCCGTGCCGCTGGTCAGACGCAACGACCTGTTCTACCTCAAGATGGACAGGTACGGTGAAGGCGTCAAGAACTCGCTCGTCATGCCGGTGCGGGGCGAGGAGCCAGGAGGCGAGCCTGGCGGCGCATCAGCTGCGTCCAGGGCAGCGGCGAGGGCCGCGCTCCAGGGCGGCAGCGGCGGAGGGGCCGCCGCGACTCGCGCTCAGGCCGAGGCGAGCGAGCCAGCAGCGCAGGCAGAGCTCGAGGAGTCCGTGCCAGTCCGAGTCAAGAAGGATCCAGTGAAGCCAAGCTTGGCCGAGCAGAGGACGCACGAGCTGGTGCACA